ACAGAATGCAGCACAGAAATCACATGTCCACGGCTTCGTGGCAACACCATGCTGCCAAAACATGGTTCTGGAGCATGGATCCTCATGGATGCTTGTGGTTTTTTGCATTGGGTCACCATGAACTCACCATCAATTGTGCATGGCACAGCTCACAACACAAAAGTCATGGATCCATGGCTTCGTGACAACACCATGAAGCCACAACATTGCTCTGAAGCACGGATCCTCGGGGGTTTTGCATTGGGTCACCCCAAACACAACTTCAAATTACATAACATGTCCATGGAAACAGGTTATACCACAAAGATCACGGATCCACAGCTTCATGGTAACACCATTCTGCAAAAACATGGTTCCGAAGCACAGTTCCTCATGGATTCTTATGATTTTTGCATTGGGTCACCCCAACATCACCATCAAATTACATACCTTGTCCATGGCCACAGAATGCAGCACAGAAATCACATATCCACGGCTTTGTGGTAACACCATGCTGCCAAAACATGGGTCTGGAGCATGGATCCTCATGGATGCTTGTGGTTTTTGTGTTGGGACACCCCAAACATACCATTAAATCCCATACCATGTCCACGGCCACTACTTACACCCCAGTATTCATGGTTCCCCAGCTTCATGGCAACACCATGAAGCCACAGCATGGTTCTGAAGCACGGATCCTCATGGATCCACAGTGTTTTTCCAATGGGTCACCCGAAACACAAGATAAAATCACATAAAATCACTGCTGAATGGGAGCGGTGGCGCAGGCGGTAAAACGCCTGCTGTAACATAGATGAACAGCCATTACGGCGGTTCGAGACCCACCGCGGCCGGGGTGAGCTCCTGGCCCTAGTCCCAGCTCCCGCCCACCCAGCAGTTCGAAAGCAGTAAATATAGCAAGTAGATAAATGGGTACCTGCTCTTAGGTGGCAGGGGGCAACTTCCTCCGTGTGTGGTGTGTGGCAGGAGCATCGGCGGTGGAGCGGAGGCAAGGTTGGCGAGGCAGGCCCTGGTGGCCAGTGAGCGCAGCATCGAGTGACGAAGTCCGGCAGAGGCGGAGTCGTGGAAGGCGCGGTGATGTGGCGACGTAGGCGAGGCGGAGCCGGAAATTGACATTAGCCGGAGCTGTAGCTAACACGAACCGCGCACCAAGATGGGCCCGCCAGAGGAAGCCACCGGACTAGAAGACCTACGCCAGGACACCAGAGACTGAACGCTGACACCCGAAGACCGCCTGGAAGAAGGAGCCGAGAACAGTAAGCCCTGCCACCTGGGTGCCGGTAGGCAGCCCCGTCCCTTGTGTAATATGTGGCCTTAGATAAGAAAATTGGAATTTGGAATCTGTATGTAAACCACTCAGAGACCCTTCGGGGTTAGAGCAGTATATAAATCGAATGTATAAATAAATAAAAATAAATAAAATAACATGTCCATGGCAAAAGCTTGCACCACAAAAATCATATGTCCACAGCTCCGTGGCGACACCATGCTGGAAAAAGATGGTTCTAGAGCATGGATCCTAATTGATCCTCAGGGTTTCAGTGCTGGGTCACCATGAGCACACCATCAAATCACAGAAAGTGTCCATGGCAACAGGTTGTACCACAAAAATCACGGATCCACAGTTTCGTGGCAACACCATTCTGCAAAAACATGGTTCTAGAGCATGGATCCTCATGGATCCTCAGGGTTTTGGCATTGGGATACCCCAAACACATAATCAAATCTCATAACATGTCCATGGCAACAGCTTACACCACAAAAATCACGGATCCACAGCTTTACGGAGACACCAATCTGCAAAAACATGGTTCTGAAGCATGGGTCTTCATGGATCCTCAGGGTTTTTGCACTGCATCACCATGAACACACCATCAAATCACATATCATCAGCCTGAGCCACAGAAATCATGTATCCATAGCTTCGTGGCAAATCCATGCAGCCAAAACATGGTTCTGAAGCATGGATCCTCATGGGTTTTGCATTGGATCACCCTAAACGCACCATCTAATCACATATCATGTCCATGGCAACAGCTTGCACCACAAAAGTCATGGATCCACAGCTTTGTGGCAACTCCATGCTGCAAAAACATGGTTCTGAAGCACGGGTTCTCATGGATCCTCAGTGTTCTTGCATTGGTTCACCATGAAGTCATCATCAAATCACATATCATATCCACAGGCACAGCTTGAACCACAGAAATCATGGATCCACAGCTTCGTGGCAACACCATTCTGCAAAATCATGGTTCTGAAGCACTGATCCTCACGGATCCTTGCGAGTTTTGTACTGGGTTTTGTTGTCACAAAACCGTGAATCCATGACTTTTGTGGTGCAAGCTGTGCCTATAGACATGATATGTAATTTGACGGTGAGTACATGGTGACTGAACACAAAAACACTGAGGATCCATGAGGATCCGTGCTTCGGAACCATGTTTTTGCAGCATGTTGTTGCCACGAAGC